AGATATGCCTCTGTCCACAGGACATAAACTATTTTGTCTCTCTCCCATTTCACTTCATCCATTTGCTCACCATAGTAGCACCTGTCTGCCTGGTGCCACGAGGGGCTGAAGTCTCCTTGTCCCGCTTAGAGTATTATGGCTCTGGGCAGGATCATGCTTTCTCGTCACAAAGAGATCAGAGTAGTGCCCAACAGTCTGGGCTGGAGACCTCTCTAGAACCTGGGCTAGAAAGCCCAGGCTATGACATTGAGTTTGGCTGACCGTAGCTGCATGGCATGGGGTGAAGGGGTTTCTCATATATCCTTGTCCTGAAGGAGGTATAAACAGAATATCTGTAACTTATAAAAGATTCCATTCCAAAGGACTGAATGACAGTAATTGTATGTGTGTGGTCACAGGTTCACACTACTAGCCTTAAAAAGTAAAATCAAGGCTCTCCTTCACTTTACAGCTAATATCCACTAATGAGTGAGTGCATATCATATTTGTCTTTCTGTGTCTGGGTTACCTCACTCAGGATGATTTTTTTTTCTAGTTCCATTCATTTGCCTTCAAATTTCTTGATGTCATTGTTTTTAACAGTTGAGTAATATCCCATTGTGTAATACATTTTCTTTAGCCATTTTTTTGGGGGGGTCTGAGGTACATCTAGGCTGTTTCCAGGTTCTAGCTATTACAAATAAACCTGCTGTAAACATAGCTGAGCAAGTGTTCCTGTATGATTGAGCATCTTTTGGGTATTCCCAAAAAGTCTAGGTAACAAGAAGAGCCCGGTGCGGGGGCAGGTGCGAGGATCTCCCTGTGAAGGGAAAATAGAAGCAAAGTATTGGTGGACTGGAGGTGGGTCAGGATGGGAACTTGGGGAATTGAATTTAGGGGTAAATTGAGGGTGAGATTACAGAAGATGAACATAAAGAGGGACTCAACGGAAATAAATACCCCTGAATCTCCAAGGATAACCCCAGCTAAAGCTCCAACAATAATGGCTATGCTACGTAGCCTGAACTGACAATCTCCTGTGATCAGATTGACGACTACCCCAATTGTCATCAGAGAGCCTTCATTCAGTAACTGATGGAACAGATATAGAGACCATCAGCCAAACATTAGGCGAGCTCAGGGAATCTGACTGAAGTGGGGGGGGGAGAGATTGTAGGGGCCAGAGGGGTCAAGAACATCACAAGAAAAGCCCAGAAACTAATAATCTGGCTCATGGGAACTCACAGAGACTAAACCAACAACCAGGGAACTGACCTAGACCTTATACACATATGTGACAGTTGTGTAGCTTTGTTTGCTTGTGAGACTCCTAACAATGGGAGCAGGCACTGTCCCTAATGTTTTGACTGGCTCTTGGGAACCTATTCCTCATACCGGACCATCTTGGCCAGTCTAAATACAAGGGGAGGCACTTAATCTTACTGCAACTTACATGCTGTGCTTTGTTGATACCCATGGGGTGCCTGCCCCTTTCTGAATAGAAACAGAGGAAGAAGGGATTGGGAGGAAATGGGGAGGTCCTGAGGTAGAGAGAATGAAAAGAGAGGAGGGAGGAAAAACTGCAGTTAGGATGTAAAATAGATTAATTAAACAAAAATTAATAAGTAAAATCAACAGAAAATTATCTAATGGTTCTTATATGTTGCTAACTTTCATAGCCATAACAACTTTTTTTTTTTTTTTCTTTGGATTTTCGAGACAGTGTTTCTCCGTAGCTTTTGGTTCCTGTCCTGGAACTAGCTCTTGTAGACCAGGCTGGCCTCAAACTCACAGAGATTCGCCTGCCTCTGCCTCCCGAGTGCTGGGATTAAAGGTGTGCGCCACCACTGCCTGGCTAACAATTTTTATTGTAAAACTCTGACTGTAAAACGTGTAGGGGAAGGTGCCTGTGGAGCCCCAGGACCTGTTGGTTTGAAATTCTAAGTCTTGCTGTCACCCTTCCCCCAAGACATGAAGGGCAGCAGAGTCATTTCTGTTCCCATCTATGTGAAGATTTGTGGACCACGCTTTGATGGTCTTCCTGTCTGGCACTGGCAGACCCTGCCTGCCTCTCCTTTTTTGGCTCGGGTAAAAGAGCGATTTCACTTCCTTGCCTTTCTTTCCTCCTACTAGAAGCTCCCTCAGCTCCTGGCTCAGCAGAGTTTCTGCAACCTTTACTTTCTGAATCCCATTAGTGCAGTAAAGTGCTTAGGAAGCCCAGGAGAGACTGAATGAGAAAATAACTTCAGTGTCCTGAGCATGTATATTCAGAAGCAGGGAATCAGTAGCCTTAGGCCTTTCGCTGTGATACTATAATAGAGCCGGACAGATTGGCAGATTCCCCTTTCTCCCTACTTACATGATGTCAGATATGCCAGTGGGGACCAGAAAAGAAAAATGTCTCCTCCGAGCTAATAAGATCCATAGCAACACTGAGCCCACAGCCGTCCACACAAGTTCTCTCTGGGTGAGCCACAGTCATGGGCACCAGGCACAGTCTCGTAGCGTGCTTTCCCCCACCAGTCAGCTAAATCTAGATTTTAAATGCAAAGTGTGCATTTCAAGGACATTATATGGATGGATTTGTGACAGTGCCTAGAGGACTTTGGGTCTATAAACTGGAGAATAAATTATAGGGAAATATAAATATGGCATTTTCATCATCGACAGTTATAATAGCCTCACGGAATAGAAGGAAACCAGTGGTTTCCTGGAGATGCGCATGTGTAGTAGCGCTATGAAAAGTGCACCGAGCAGGAAATGGAGTTCAGCAAAGTGATGTAAATGGTGCCGTCCAGAGAACCTCGCCATCCAGGAGAAAAGGGAGATGTGTGTGCTTCTGTCTATCCAAGAAAAATCTGTTTGTAGACAACGGTAGGAAGGCAGCTGAACCAGAGTGCTGGTTGGGCACCCTCATGGACTACTGGAAAGCAGGCATGTGGGAAGGAAAAAGCAGAGGACAGGTGGTTGTTTAGTTCACCTAGGATGTGAGACCATCTGAGCACCGGTGATCCCTGGTGCTCATGTTCTTGTACCTCCAAGGATATTTTTCTTAGCTAGGAGCCTCCCTGGGCCAGGTAGACATCACCAGCCCACCTTGCTACCCACCCTCTTCCCACTCCTCAGCCACACCCACACCAGCCGCTCATGATACTGTGGTACCAGATAACCCTACACTTCTGCGGACTTCTGATGAATAGCATTTCCTATATAGTTAGTTCCAGATCTGTGTCTTGGATTAGAAGTTTAAGAGGCGACGCCCTTTAGATTTCAGGATCTAGCACTATGTTGGACGCAGGGTGGTTCCATAGACCCACACACAGTCTGGTAGCTACAGTCTGGAGATCCCAACAGGGAAGTAATTTGCGTTTCAAGGTTGAAATCCTCAAGATCTGTGCTACTTCTTTTTCCTTTTAATAGCGTGTTAAGCAAATTTGTTACAAAGTTACCAGCGCCTCAAATGCCCAGGAGGGTAAGAATTTGTCAGCAAACTCCCCTTCACAGTTCTCCCTCCTCCTTCCTGTTCTGTTTGCCTGTATTCCTTGTTTGTTGAGACAGGGTCTTGCCCTATCTCAGGATGGCTTAGAAGTCACAGAAATCCTCCTGTCTCAGCCTCTCATATGGTGGGGTTATGGAATGATTTCTCTCTTTTTATTTCTATTTTTTGCCAGAGTGTACTAAAGCAAATCTCAAACCTGTCATTTTATTTTTAGTTACTTTAATCTGCTCCTAAAGAGTCTAAGACCATTTCTTTCATCAAACCATAACCACTAATGTAACAAAAATTTCTATTTTCTTTCTGTCTCTCTCTCTCTCTCTAATTCATTATTTCTCAATATCATCAAATCCTGTCTTCAGAGAGCTCGGGGATTGTTATACTATGTCTTTCCCTAGCTTTTTAAAAATCATAACTAAACAAGGGTTAATATTATTTGCTTGCCTAAGTTATTATGTCTATCTTTTTCTTTTAAAATAGCTTTTCAACAGTTATTTTCTGTGCATACCCAAGCAAGCATGTGACCATGCACCATGGCACATGTGCGGAACCAACTTGCAAGGACAACTTGCAAGAGTTGGTTCTTACTATTCTGTGGGTTCCCAGGGAGCAAACTCAGGTTGGCAGGCTTGGTGGCAACTGCCCTTACTCACTGAGTCCTATCACCAGCCTCTCCTTTATCTCTTAACAAGAGTTTTCTTTCTTCCTCCTCCTCCTCTTCCTTTGCCCCCTACCTTTCCAGTTACACTATAGAATGTCCCACTATCTGTATTTGGGTAACTGTTGCTTTGTCATGTCTTAACTGAAATCAACTGAGTCACTCACTTGTAGCCATGAAGCCAGGTCTAAAGTCTTGACTGGATTCCAATCTATTCAGTCCCTCATGTGGACGCTTGTTTTGGGCAAGAATATTTCTGCAGGGTTCCTCTAAGGAGCACCACGTTTTTTTCAGCTGGACTCACACTGATAACAGTGCCGCTATTGACAATCTTTTCTCTCCCAGTACCAGAGGGTTGAACTCAGGTTTGTGCCCACTAGAAAGCACCCTTTGTTTGTTTGTTTGGGGGTTGTTTGTTTCCTGAGACAGGATCTTGCTGTGTAGCTCACATCATCATTAATTCAGAATCTCCCCGACTCCCTCCAATGTGCTCGGATAAGAGGTGCACCCTCCACATTTTGACTTACAGCCAATACCTTGCTAACAAAGTGTGTAATTTTCTTAATATCGTCTAATCCCTTCATTCAGAGGTCTCTGATGGACTACAAATGTCTTTTACCAACTGATTTATTTGAATCTTAATCTAATCAAGAGCAAGCGCTTTATCATTATTCCTTGTGCTAGCTTACTAAAGCCTCGTAATGAATAAGAATGTGCACATAAACATTTTGTGCTTTTGCAAGTTTATTTTGGGGAATGATAACTAGAAGTGGGACCGCTTTTCAAAAGGTAAATCATACATAATCTTGCTAGAGAGTGAATCAAATTACTAAATCCAATATTCATTTATATTGCTTCTCCCATCAGAAAGAAACCAACAAAACATACAACTGTGAAAATTTAGGTCTCAGTGAAATTCCTGGCACTCTCCCAAACTCAACAGAATGTCTGGAGTTCAGCTTTAATTTCTTGCCTACAATTCAAAATACAACCTTCAGCAGACTCGTAAATCTCACCTTTCTGGATTTAACCAGGTAGGTATTTCAGCTCCTTGTGCGCTCTTGACATTTTACTTAAACAAAACCATATTGTACAATCCAAGCACTTCTGATACCACCTATAGGGCCACAGATTTATTTATCCTTCCCAAGGAACACATTTCTGGTACTTTAAGATATATTGTAAAATAAGGCCAGTCAACTACGAGGAAAGTATTTCAATGGTGCTGTTAAGGAAGGCCTAAGCCAGTGGTTCTCAACCTGTGGGTCGTAACCCCTTTTGGGGGGCTGAATGACCTTTTTACAGGGCTCACATATTAGATATCCTACATATCAGATATTTACATTACAATTCTAACAGTAGCAAAATTGCAATTAGGAAGTAGCAGTGGTTGGGGGGGTCACTAAGCATGAGGAACTGTATTAAAGGGTTGCAGCTTTAGGAAGGTTGAGAACCACTTTTCTAAGGGTATTGATGGCAAAAGAGAAAAAAAAAATCTTGACCAGATCAGATGCTGTATTAAGCGGCATGTTAACCCAATTGGCTGTTACCGGGCAACAATAGTTTAGATGAAACTCCCAGATATCTCTATTAACATTGTGTGGTTGCTGTTGTTTTGTTTGCTTTCTGATTTGTTTGTTTTCTTTTTTAAAAAATCATGGTCTCTCTATGTAGTCCTAGTCTTCCACCAATTCACTGTGTAGACCAGGCTGACCTTGAACTCACAGATATTTTCCTGCCTTTGCCTCCTGAAGTATAGGATTAAAGGCAAGCACCCCTACATCTGGCTTCTATTAACTTTTGATTTATTTGTTATACACAAATTGGATTAAGAATTGCATCATCTATTCTAGAGGTGGAACCATGATTCCAATTGCTAAAACATAACCTGAAAGTTGTATCTGATTGCTGAACCAATGTTTGAGAACAAAGGGTAGAAGTATCAAAAGCAAGTGAGGGCGTACACAAGTTTGTGAGGAAAATGAGGGAAAGGAGGCTGATGCTTTCGTGACATCCGCATCCCTTGTAGCGGCTCTCCACACTGGCCCTTCCGCTCCTGCAGAGCGGGAGAACAAGGGACCATAGTCACCTTATAAGTGCCACTGTGAGATACCGTGACCAATATCACTACCTACTGGTGGGTGAATGAAGGAACCATTAGCGTGCACATGTGCCAACAAAGGGATGTGCACTCCTGTGCATGTGTGTGCTATCAATCCAGTATTTTTAGATTAATATCAAGATGGTGTTTTTTGAGTCTTTACTGTTCTTCAGTTCAATGGGGCATTTTCCATGTATCATTTAACACACAATAGTTCTTCATAAAACCCTTTTGTATTTAACTGATGAAAAAAAGAGGGCAAGACTACAGACCAGTGATAGACAGTGTGCTTAGCATGTGTTAGGACCTGGATTCAATCTTTGATAGCAATTCAGCCCCCCATGAGAAATTAATAAAGGGTGTATCATACACATATGTGTATGTATATAGTGTCTCCTATATCTTCTGTGTGATATATTTTATACTAAATTAAACAGTAAGTCACAGTTTGATTTTTACAATCACTGGGTTTTTTCCTTACAATTAAAAATAACCCCTGAGTGTTCACTCTAAAGGGGCAAAGGCTACAGAATAAATTCTAAATCAGAGTATTCAGAACTAAGGCTATTCATTAACCCAACAAATTATCCTGCGGGTGTGAAGGAAAGTTCTACTTTACTTTTTAGTGATGCTATTTTGCTATTGCAGACGAGGGATTTCTTGATTCATTGTTGTGCTGGTGTTTGCTCTTTTGTCCTCGTAAGCATGATTGCCAAATGCTCTTATCTCTTCGAGGTGCCAGATTTACTGGATACATGAAGATACCTTCCAAAGCCAGCATCAGCTAGACACACTTGTGCTAACTGCAAACCCGCTGATATTTATGGCAGAAACAGCACTGAATGGGCCCGCGGCACTGAAGCACCTGTTCTTCACCCAAACAGGAATGTCCAGTCTGGACTTTATCCCCGTGCACAATTTGGAAAGCTTGGAAAGTTTACATCTTGGAAGTAACCATATTTCCTCCATTAAGCTCCCCAAAAACTTCCCCACAGAGAAGCTGAAGGTTCTCGATTTTCAAAATAATGCCATCCATTACCTATCTAAAGAAGATATGGAATCTCTACGGCACGCCACTAACTTGAGCCTCAACTTAAAGGGAAATGACATTACAAGGATAGAGCCTGGGGCTTTCAAGTCAACTGTCTTCCAAAGTTTGGACTTTGGAGGGACTCTCGACTTGCTGGTTATATTCAGGGGTTTGCAAAACTCTACTGTTCAGTTGCTCTGGCTGGGGACATTTGAGGACATTGATGATAAAGAAATTAGTTCCTCGGTGTTCGAGGGCCTCTGTGAAATGTCAGTTGAGAGCATCAACCTGCAGAAGCATCACTTCCTCAACATCTCCTCGAATACATTCCACTGCTTCACCAGCCTCCAGGAGCTGGACCTGACAGCCACTCACCTGAGACAATTACCCTCCGGGATTGTGGGGCTACACAACCTCAAGAAATTAGTTCTCAGCGCAAACAAGTTTGATGACCTGTGTCAAATCAGTGCTGCCAGCTTCCCCTCCCTTACACACCTTTACATCAAAGGCAATGAGAAGAAACTTGCCCTTGGTACTGGCTGTTTAGACAACCTAGAAAATCTTCGTCTGCTTGATCTAAGCCACGATGACATCGAAACTTCTGACTGCTGCAACCTGCAACTCAAAAACCTGTCTCACTTACAAAGCCTGAACTTGAGCTACAATGAACCCCTGGGCCTAAGGACCGAGGCGTTCCAAGAATGTCCCCAGCTAGAACTCCTGGATTTGGCGTTTACCCAATTACATGTTAATGCTGCACAAAGTCCCTTCCAGAACCTCCATCTCCTAAAGGTTCTCAATCTCTCCCACTGCCTCCTTGACACCAGCAATCAGCATCTTCTCGATGGCCTGCCAGCACTCCAGCACCTGAACTTACAGGGAAACCGATTTCCAAATGGAAATATTCCAAAGACCAACCCGCTTCAGATCCTAGAGAGCCTAGAAATCCTGATGTTATCATTCTGTGATCTCTCCTCCATAGACCCGCAGGCCTTTGCTCAGCTTAAGATGATGAATCATGTAGATCTGAGCCACAACAGGCTGACATCCAGTAGCATCGAGGCTCTTAGTCATCTTAAGGGGCTATACCTCAATCTAGCTTCGAACAGCATTAGCACCATCCCCCCTGACCTCCTTCCCATCCTGTCCCAGCAGAAAACCATTAATTTAAGACAGAATCCCCTGGACTGCACTTGCTCGAATGTTTACTTTTTGGAATGGTATAAAGAAAACATGCACAGAGTCGAGGACATAGAGGCCACTCTTTGTGCAAATCCTCCATTGCTGCGGGGAGTCAGGCTATCTGATGTCACCCTGTCATGCAGTATCACAGCTGTGGGCATTTTCTTTCTCATCGTATTCTTGCTTTTGTTCACCGTTGCGTTGATTTTCGCAGTGAAATATTTTCTCAGGTGGAAATACCAACACATTTAGCTCAAGGTTTCCAGAGAAGGCAGATAAACGGTTTTATCAGAATTGTCCTAAGTAAAGGAAATGTCATCCACAGGTGACCAGACTTTTCTGGTTCCTAGTGCTGGGCTGGGGTTCCTTGAGCTTTTCCGAACATGTCTTACTCATTTGAATCTCCCATGATGCTGTGGTTAGAGGCCCATGCACTGCTGTGTGAGACAGAGCCACTTCCTCCTGTGAAAAGTGACCCACAACCACTGAACCCCCGATCTGAACCCCACCCATCTGAGAAAAGAGAGCAACATGCCTCAGTGCCCCCACCCTCTGCCCAACCCGGCTATGCTGGGGCCAACCCTGTCTTTCTCTCTCTCTCTAACTTCTAACATTTTGCTTGAGGCTGAGCTCCCTGTAATTGAGCCATTTGGGAAAGTTAGGCCCAACAAATTCTCAATGCTCATTTCAAATGACAAAAGGTAAAAAAATACAATGAATTTAAAAGACAAGACAAAGTAATAAATTCTGCTCTCGACCAGATTCTATTAGTCCCCTTGTTTTCTAAGGTCTTGAGAAACCCCTTTGTACTGTGTCAACAGTACAACACTTTGAAAGCTTCTCCCCGACCCATCCCTGAAGGTCGGATTTCATTCATTTCCCAACAAGGAGGTTTCCCTCCCCCTGTCTGGTATTCCACCTCTCGGGTTGCAAACTTAGAGGTGGGCTGTGGTCCAAACAGCTCATTTTATTCTCCAGGTTTCTGGTCCTTGGACCTCTCTCCCACAGGAACAGGGAGATGAATGTCTGGTTCCCAGGCTGGCCTTCCAAAGCCTGTTCCCTTCAGAGAATGTTAAGGAACACGCTCACAGGGGAACCTTGTGTATGTATGTGTCCCTGCAGACTAGCTGTCGGGAACATGACAAGGGAGAAGAGATTTCTGTTCAGTCCAGGGGTATTCCCAAAGGCTATGGCAGTGACAGACAACATGGCGCTGTTGAAGGCAGATAGACAGAGAAGACAGGGCAGTTGACAATGTCACAACTTAATCCCTCCCAAGTCTCTGGGATGCAGTCTGAATTACTAGTTGAAACTCAGTTACTGTGATGTTTGCTATTACTGTTCCCTGAATCCAGGGAGTCAAGCAACAACAGACTGATAATATTTTTTAAACATTGCACAAATACTAAGTATCTATCTTACTTCATTTCATCATTCCCTGAACAATGTAACTATGTGCACAACATATATACCTTGTTTTATGTTGTTAGGAGACAATACAAAGAATATGAAAAGATCATGTAATTCATATGAAAATATTTTATTTTTGTATAAAGGACTTGAACATTTGTGGAGTCTGGTATCTGTGAGGACTCCCGGACCCAATTTCCCCATGAAAACCAAGGGACTACTACTTAAGACCTTGATTAAATTTCCTAACCAATTTGAGGTTAGAGATGTTAGCTAATTGTGAAATGCTGGTCAAATGTCAAGTGATTGACCAATAGTGACATCTAATCAGAATGATAAGAGAAGCCACGTCTTCCCTTCGCCCCCTGGAAAAGCTGCTTAGGCAGGCCACAGCTGGGATGGAGCTCTTCCCTACTTAGGGACTTCAGCCTTTCTCACATGGTCGCTCCTTCCTTTGGAAGCCCCTCTGGAAGCAGTCAGTTCTCATATCCCTGAGACTTGCAGCAAGGTTTCCTCTTCGGAGAGTGGCTTTTTCCTACATAGCCAATCCAAAGCCGACGGTGAATGACAACACAAGTAGCGTGAACTCTTCAGCTCCTTTATCATCTTTATGGCTCCTCCATATCCGGAATCACGGCTGGGACATGATATGGTTTCAGGGTGTGTGTGCACATGCTCACCCATGAATGCTCACATGGACGCCAGATGTTGACGCCCGGTGACTGCTTCAGCATCTTCCTGTTCTGAGACCTGACCCCTTGCTGATCGTAGATCTATCTCCCCATGTTGCTCTACCCCAGCTCTGGGGTTTGAAAAGCACACCGCTTTCCCAGTCTTTCTCATCGGTGCTAGGGAGCTGGATTCAGCCTGCAGGCTTGGGCAGAGAACACTTTGCTCACTGAGCCTTCTCCCACAGCCCTGATGGTTTATATTGTGAATAATTAATTGCTGAGATTTTGTAGGCCTGTGGTCCCTGAGGCTTTATCAGTGGTTACTACGTTGGCCAAGCCTATCCCCGCTTACCCTTAGCTCTGGTCAATATCTCCAGAGCTTCTTGCACTAGCCCCTCCCACACATTTCTCGCCAGAAATACCCAGAGCGATCTGGTAATAAAGGATGCCTATGCCAAACCTCTGGTAATGAGGATATTGTGGCAGAGGTTAACCCTGGATTCCTAGTCAATGACGAGTTTCTGTAACATTCCTTCCTACTCTTCATGTTGTCTCCTACTTCCCCCATCTCAAAGTACAGATGGATTCCACATTCAGAATGCCGTCTTAGGAAACACCAACCCTGTCGGGATAGCCTCCAGAACCATTCCCACCTGAGTGGCCATTCTTTCCACCCAGAGTCAGGATGTCGCCTGGGCCCTAGCTGCTGCTGAGGGCTATGTCTGGGTTCATGGTCCAGCTACAGCTGGGGTCTGTGTGGATGTTTGTGACCTGTGTCACCTCAGGAGACCTCAGGAACCATGCAAGATGAAATCAGAGGGCCATACTGAGCTGGCCCCACCCTTTGCTGGCCCTGGGAAAGCTGGCCTAGCTTCTCATTGGACCCTACAGCAAGAGAGCTGACCCCTGCACATTACAGAGATGACACCCACCCCTCACCACTGGCTAGGGGGAACCAAGCCTAAGGGGAACATGCATTAGGGGAGCTGACTGAGCAGCTTGGCTACCACCCAGGCCCACACTCGGGCCTTGGATTGACCCCATCTAGGACCTGCTGGAGTTGGCGAAGGAACTGGTCCTGGGGAATGATACCCACAGGATCTCCAAGACTCGTGGCCATTACAGGATATCCCAGAGGAGTTCCGGTGAGGATCCAGTGATGGTGGTGTACCAGAAACCAGAGGCCTTGAACCAGACCGGTGACTCATTGCAATGAACATTTGCCAGTAAAACTGATGGGACAATTTGTATACTATATGGCACACTGAAGCCCCCAGTGCCTTCAGGATGAATGAAGAGGTGTTGGAGAGGCAGGAGAGAAGGAGAAGCAAGGAGATTTTTCTGTTGTTGTGGTTTTTGCTTTCTTTGGGTTATTTTGTTTATTTCTGCTTTTGTGCTTGTTTGCCTACTTTGATTTGTTTCCTTTTGTATGTGTGGGGGGGGTGCGCAGCAGGGATGGGGGAGAATATCGGGGGACTTGGAGGTGAGCAGAATTGGGGTGCAAGATGTGAAACTCCTAAAGGGTCAACAAAGAAGCTAAATATTAAGTTAAAGATAGATAGATAGATAGATAGATAGATAGATAGATAGATAGATAACACCAACCCATTGGGTTCCCTGTCTATTCTGTCAGATATCAGCTGATTCTTGCCTTCGGAATATATATAAACTGAAGATGGAAAATACTAATTGTGAAACAAGCACTCTATAATACTTAAAATATAACTTGGAAAAACCAATCATTCCGTAGAAAACCTCTGCTTCGGATGCATTACACTAATGTTCCCAAAGTCTTAAGCCTTGGCAAGGCCTAGCTGCCCATCTTGTTCTCATTTGTCAGACCCACCCCACTTGGTGCCCTGTGACTTAGCGTTCCAAAGCACCACACTGACCCAAGGCTCAGCGACAGCTCCGCTGTATTAAACACCAATAAATTCACCCCACAGAGTGGGGAAGGGAGCTTTTTGATAGCTGCTGTCAATTTTATTCTTTATCTGGTTACTAGGAGAGGATCTGTAGACATCGTGCGTTTATTGGTTTTATGTATTGCATGTTGTTGTGCCTCTGACAAGCTACACCTATAAAAATGTGTTATTATTGCATGATGTAGCCCAGTGAGCTGACCCTGCATTTCAAAGTGTACTGAAGCAAACAGCATCGAAGTCCATAAAAGCTGACTGGCCTCCATCACAAAGAACTCTCTGCGTGAGCTGCAGCTCCTATAATCCAGCAAAGAATTATACCCTTCCCTCTACCGGCAGCCATTTCTATTAACTGAGCACAACACACTTCCAAACACAGGCATTATCTGAAAAATTCTAAGACAGGATGCCTTATATTGCTCTGATTTGTCCAACTCTCTGAGAGGACACGAGTGTAATTTTGAAGTTTACAAAAGAATGAAATAACTGGTTTGCTGGTGTAATATCAGTTCAGGGTGCGAAAAAAGTTTCCACCAGTGTTTTCTCTCTTTGAATGCAGAAGAGGCATTTAAGTACAGCGATACAAAGTGGTTATCTCTAAGCCGGGAGGCAGCTGCTGGGTGTGTTAAGAATGCAACTGTCTAGCACAGTGGGGGTTAGCCTGTGGTAAAGAGGAATAGCCTAGCCTATTGTAGTTCCCAAGCCTAGTTAAACCCCAGAATCAACTGGAGAATTCTTGGCAAAACTGAAGTCTTCAACCTACCTCTGGATCTCAGCCCCCACTTTCTGCCAAGTGATTTTTATATAAAAATCATTTCTAATCTCTGTTTTATCAACCAACAGCAGAAGCTCGTTAGGCTCCATGATGCACAGAAACTAGAGACTGTCTTCATATCCCAGGGAAGGAAGTTTTCTTCCAAAAGTTGGACAGAGGTAATTGGCAAAGCCCTCAATTCTGAGGGTCAACATCCTGCCAGGCAACTTGGCAGTGTCTCTTGCCATCACAGCTGGGCTGCAAGGCACTGTCCCTGAAGCGCTGCTGTCTCTCTTCCCTACCCACCGTGCCGCTTGCTAACAACTTGAAAGTGAAAGAAATCATGCATTGAATATTATGGAAGTTGGAAAGAGCTGGTGGCTTATGGTGAAAGTCTATCATTGCTCAGGAAAGATTAAGCAGGGAAGATCATGGAAGCTCCTCTCCCTTTCTACGTAATGTTCTCTGAGCGCCTGGCTGTGGCTCTACACCTGGCAAAGGACAGCAAAGGGCAAAGAGGCCCTCAGGGCATTCAAGCATTTATTCCCTCCCTGTCCTTTCGGTTGGCACACAGGCCTTCCTCATCCCTTCCTGTTTCTTCCTCCTCCCGTTGTCCTCTAGATTGATGCTTATTTCCTGATTTGGGAAGTATGATTGACACTATCACAACCAGTTCGGTCCAAGAGCTCTATAAATAGCTTGGATCTCCCTTTTTTCTCTTATAAATAATCTAACCACAATAATAGATAAGCGATTAAGAAAATTAGGAAACTTTCTGAATAAATGGGGAGACACTCGGTGTTCTTAGAAGGAACAACTTAATGCTATAAGAATGTCAGTCTGCTGAAAACCAGAGAAATACATATAAAAATGAGACAAACATTAATATCAGTTAGAATAACACCAACAAAAACCTGAAAAAGTGGGGCTGGAGAGAGGGCTTGTGTGTTAAGAGTGCTTGCTGTTCTATCATAAGACTGGAGTTTGG